GATGCGCAGTGTGAGCAGGTGGCACTGCAGTAAGTCTCATGTCGACCACTCGATGAGGTGTGTGCTCCGGTTTACAGATCAGGACACAGGGTTAAAGCAATTAAGGACGATTCCCAAGGATATGCCAGTGCTGGGTCTCACCTACAAGGGTCTTTGTTAGAATTAGGGGAGGGCCCCTTCCCCTGGACTGGCGGCTTCCCGTCTTCACGCGGACACGTGGGGAGAACGCCCTGTAGGGAGAACTGCTTGGGGTGTGGCCTGTCCAGGTGGCCTGTACCCTCCCTGCCGACCATTGCTAGAGAAATACGGGAGTGGGCAGAGGAAAGAGGAAGAAAAGTGGAGACGAAGACTTGTCTCTTGGTCGTTTTGTTGTGTATTTTCACAGAATGGTAATTGAAGTTGAGAAAGAATGCAAAATTCAAGCTGGTGAATATCGCTAGTTTTCACTATTTCTAATGAAAGTTGTGCTCAACCTTAAGCTTTTGGAGTTTCCACTAATTTAATTAATGTGTGCTGTCCCTTTATCAGAAATTTCCATGTGCAGTCAGTCAGGTATGGGGGTTCAAGGCAAATAGGAAAGTAAGTTAATGATATACAAAAATGCATATGAATGTGTCCTCAAAATCCTGGCTGCTCCTATCATCAGCCTTTCTACTGTGAGCTCTCAGTACTGGTTTAGTTTATAAATTAAATGACAAAACAAAAAAATGTCTACAGTGGGAAAAGACCAAGAATACCTCCTTGATGCAGTAGTCTTTCAGAACAAAAATCAGTTAATATTAATTTTAAACATATTTCCACTTATGCAGCATAATTATATTAACTATATCAAGGTCCTGAAAGTTTTGACTGGGGTTATATGTATGATTTTATTCTCTTCCATGGCCTAATATTTCATCTGTCCAAAGCAGATGTCTGATTGGTCATGTAGGATGCCAGGGAAGATAATGAAAAATTGCAACCACTGGAAAAGGACTCTGAAATAATAAGGGTCTGAATTTCTTAGGAAATTACATGGGAGGAAGGAAAAATAATTATCTTATAGAATTAAACTCAGTAACGAAAAGTTGACAGGTATTTCATTTTTGAGAAAACATTTAAAATGCTTTCCTAAGAACAGCTCAAGTGTTCATCAATGGATGATTGGATGACAAAGCTGTGGTACATGTACACAACGGAATACTATGCAGCTGTTAAAAAGAAAGATCTCTTATCCTTCAAGACGGCATGGAGGGACCTGGAGAGTATTGTGCTAAGTGAAATAAGCCAGTCAGAGAAAGACAAGTATCACATGATCTCTTTTATTTGTGGAATATAATGAACAAAATAAGGTGATGAACAGAATAGACCCAGAGACATAGAAGTAGGGTTCAGACTGACAAACTTCAGAGGAGAGAGTGGAGGTAGGGAAGAGGTAAACCAAAGAACTTATGCATATAGGTATAACCAATGGACATAGACAACAGTGCGGGGGGTGGGGGCAGGAGGGAGGCGGGAACTGGAGGAGGGTGTCAATGGGGGAAAAAGAAGAAAATTTGTAAGAAAAAAATTAAAAACATAAACTACTTTCCTACGTATTTAACTTTTTATAGCTATTATTATTGCATAAATACACTGTTCACTAGGTTTATCCTAAGTGTCAAGTGCATTAACATGCTGAATATCCACTACAGGCTCTGAAGTTGATGCTGTTATTTATTTTCGATGAGAAAACTGAGGCTTTAGGATATCGGAGTAGCTGTTCCACCCCAGGCCTGGGAACCAGAATTTGCATTTAAAAAGGGTCCCAGATGACTCAAGTACATATTAGAGTTTGAGAAATACTGCTTTATTTTATGGAGTTCTTGTTCATAATCCCTCCGTGGTCCTGCCTCTCAGAGGACTCTACGATAAATATTTATTAAGAGTATTAGCTGAATCTGATGTAGATTTAAAAGAATACTTCTTTCCTGGTTATATGTTCTAGTTTTGTAGATTTCAAATTTGTTAATTCTGCCTTTTCTGTTTCTCAGCTGAGGGTTCTGAGATTATCTTGTAAGAGTCAACCCTTCTCTCCACTGCATCTGTGGTCACTGGATTCTAGGAATGTTCTAGTTCGATAGCTTTATGTTCTTGTTATGCTGTGTGTGTGTGTGTGTGTGTGTGTGTGTGTGTGTGTGTGTGTATTAAGGATAAATAAGGGCTGTTGTTCCTCCTGTTACTCTGGGGAAAGGTGGAGTCAATTCTTTTAGACATCTGTCCCCTCCTGTACATTTGCTCTCTGAAATGTATAGTTACTGCCCCTTCCTATATCCCTAGGCATTTAAATGTAAAATACCCTTTGTCATCAGTTTGTTAATTTGAATTATAAATCAAGTTTCAGGTATGAACTGTGAAGCAGTCTGTGTTGTTAAATGAAATATACTAAGTATATTGTTTTCCAAAAAACCAAACCAAAACAAAGCAGACTGACCCTCACACAGGAGCCATGTGTGTTTAAACAGCAAGGAAGTGAAATGCAGACACGGGCCCCTTTGGAGACAGTACTTGGAAATCCGTTTGGAAAACAGACCGCTAAAGATGAGACCTATCAGTGATTCTAGAATCACTCGGAAGACTTTTAAAAATGCAGATTGATGCTTTCTACATCCAGATGTTCGGAGCAGGAGGTCTGTGTTAGGGCTCAAGATTTTGCATTTTTAATACGTTCTCAGGTGATGCTGATGCAGGGACCATACTTTGGAAACCACTGGACTAGGTTTCGGAGACCAGTTGGAAACCGTTTGCATTGATTTATGTAAGATATTATATAGGAGCAAATGCTGGTAGTAGAGTTGAGGGGAGGGGAGGATGCCACAGATACAGAGGCGTTATAATGGGCAGGACTTGATAACAGACCAGAAATTGGATAGATTTAAGTGGGCAATTTAAGTGGCAATATCTTAGGGAAGTAGTACACTAGGGAGTTGAAGATGCGGTAGGAAGAAGACAGTTGTGCCCTGGCTGGTTTGGCTCAGCTTTTAGAGTGTTGTGGGTTTGATTCCCGGTCAAGGGCATGTACCTCAGTTGCAGGTTCGATCCCCGGCCCTGTCTGAGAGGCAACCAGTCTATGTGTCTTTCTCACATCGATGTCTCTCTTTCTCTCTCTCACACCCACTACCCCCCTCCCGTTCTAGCTAAAAATCAATGGAAAAATATCCTCGGGTGACATTAAAACAAAAACCAAAAAACAAATACAGTTGTAAGTGCAGGCATGTCTGTCTATAGAGGAAAATTGATAGAATTATAGGTCATAAAGTGATGAGAACAGAACTCTGGAATATGCCAATAAAAAAGGTCAGAGTCATTCCCTAAAAAGTCCTGAGAAGGACTGGCAGGAACCCTGGCTGTGATCAACATGTCAGCCCTGCAGGAAGGTCGAAGGACACCTGGGTTTAAACGTGCCCGTTGCGCCTGGGAACCTGAAGGTGACAGAACCTTAGGAAAAGCATCAGGAGCACAGATGGGACTCAGATTGCATTTATCTGAAGTTAGAAAGTGTTTTTAGGTTACCACGTACACCCTCCTTTTTTCTGATACTAAGTTTCTATTTTTTTTTTTTGTTACTTCTGAAGAAGATAACATTACTGATAGAAATAATTGGCATATGAATTGATTCATATTCAAGTTCTAAGCTATTCATTTCTAGCTAAAATTTAATCAAATGTTTAAAGAGCTAATTGAGAATCAAAGTTTGTATTCCTTGTTTTCTTGTGCGGAAGCATGGCCTGGGGGGTATTGTACCTGTCCCCCCAGCAGGAGGCTTTCGGGAGTGACCGGAGGTTTTGGTGGTTGGGCCTTCTGAAAGCGGTTTGTGTTATGTCCACCCGCACCCCTGCTAGGGAACCAAGAATGCTGTGATTGCTATTAGGAATCTTGTTTTACTCTGAATCTGTGTGGCAGCTGGGCACAATTATTTTATTACTTTCCTGATTGATCCAACAAAAAGAAAGACAAGGTCACACAGGTGACAGCTGTTAGGGAAAGGCTAACCGTAACCTTTCTCCCTCTCCTCCAGTGTCTTTCTAAGCTGATTTAGAACAGCATGCTGAGGGTAAATAAAGTTGCCCTTCACAAGACCGGGATGTGGGATGATCGTTTCATAAGCAGGGTTCATCAGCAGTGTGTCCGTTTCTGGAAAACGCAGTTGAAACCTGACTGTTTGATAACAGCATGCCCACCCGTGTTTTAGAACCTCATGTGGGGCCGCTCGACTCTCCAGCCAGGCGGACAGCCAGGTTGGAGACTGAGCCCACACAGCCCTTTGCATTTGATGCTCATATACCTGCATTAGTTAGAATGTGGGCCAAACACAGAATGAGAGGGCCTGCCAGTAAAATAGTGAGCTTTCGACAAGATCTGACTAAGCCCTGGCCAGTGTGGCTCGGTCAGTTGAGCATCATCCCATGAACCAAAAGGTCTCTGGTTTAATTCCAACGTTGGGGACATACCCAAGTGGCGGGTTCTGTCCCAATTGGGAATTGATCAATATTTTTCTTTCTCTCTCTCTAAAATCAATAAAAACATTTTTTTTTTTAAAAAGACCTGAATAAAAGCACATTTTCTATTTTGTGGCCAAACTGATCTAACAGATTCTCTGTGTGTGCACTTCATGTGTCCTTGTTGACCAGTTTCAAGGCTCCACATTAAAAAAGGGATACTTCAAATCTCAGGCTGCAAATGACCAAACGTGTAATTGTTATTTTACAGACAGACCCAGCTGACCTCCGAAACTATTAGAAAATTTACTTGTTGACAGATCAGACTCTTAAAAGACTGGTGAAGAGCATGCCATTGAGGGTGAAGGGAATACTGGGGGCAAATGATGGATTTTGAAGTTTTATGATATAAAACCGCAAAGCTCTTTCCAAACCAGTTTCGAATACTTTAAATAATGACTTCATTTAGGATTAAAAAGAACATGTTATTAAGCATATCATTGGAGTTCAAATTAACACTTCCCCCTTTTCTTTCTTGAGCAGGTTGTCAAGTTATTAAGCAACAAAAGATCACAAGCAGTTGGAATATTAATGTCTAGCCTTCACTTAGATATGAAAGACATACAACATGGTAAGTATAAAAATACAAATTCAGCTTTTGAGTATTAACATTTGGGCTGACAAGCATGATGCTTGGTGGTAAAACTATTTCAAACTTAGAGTTTCTGTGTGTATTGAGGTTAATATGTTTCCTATGCTTGCTACTGGAGAATTTACTATTAATGTGACTTTTCTGTTATTTCTATGTCTTGCTAAGAGCCTGATTTTCATGTGACATATTTAGTCTGCATTAATAAATATTTAAATTTCAATTCATTAGAAGTACTCGTCCCACTGTGCCCTTTAAGTAGATTATATCTGAGGTATTTACTTCTAGATGCCATGGTCAAAGAGTGACTGATGAGCAGTAGTGAGAGGTGGGACATTGGGGTATTTCTCAGCCATTGAAAGTACCTGGGGAAGATGGTCCACAGGAGAGAAACATACGTTGCAACTTGACATATGTTGGAGAAGCGAACATAAAGACAAGGAAGTAAATCTAACATTTTCTGATAGATCAGCTTCAACCAGTGTAAGAGTTACAAGGAAGCTTGGTTTGGTTGTTGTTGTTTTAAGAATGTGCTGATGATTAGAGATGTCGATTAGAAGACTGGTTGCCATATTCAGTGATGAAATCAAAACTGTTCAAGAGGCGGAACGCTCATGTGTCTCCGATGTCTTTAAAGTATTGCATGAGTGATGTGCACTCCTGGTCTTCCTGTTCCAAGATGCTGTGATATGCGTAAAGAATCACTAAAGCAGCTTATCATGTATAACCTTTCTTGGGTGGAGAACCAGTCTCTCTTCTTTCAATTATTTGGGATGACTTATAGTGTACACTGCTGGACTTTTCTACACGTAGACAGATTGAATTATTTTTTGTAATAACCTTCAAAGACAGTTTCAAAGTATTCTTGCCTACTTATATTATTGTTCGTGGTCAAGACACATGGAAACAGTAATATCATGACTGTTTGTGATTTCTTTTATGTTGTTGTTTAAATTTATGTCTTTAACCAGGCTAATACAGAATTATTTACATTTGGAATCAGGGTGACTTTTAACATTTTCTAAATGGCTTTAGTGTCAATATTATAATAATTGAATTCTACCCTACAATTGACAAGTATTTCTATGCCTTATCCTCTGATCACATTTGTCCTGTGAGATACTGCCCAAGGTGAACAGAGGAATTGGATTTATATTCAGAATGTCCCTTCAGCTGTCCAGAGCCTTCGGATAGATTTAAAGCAGATTGAATTATTCCATGGAATGCCAGTTTACCTATTAAAGAAATGTGGTTTCCAGTATAACACAGACCTTATAAATCATGAAAACATTTAACTAGCTTACCCCGTTATGAATGTGGATTCTATTTGTTAGGCTTAAAATATTGTGTGGAATAATTCATAAATAGCACAAGCTTGGTATGCCTTGTCAATTGATGAGTAACTCTTAATCACAATTTAAATTTTATGAAGCTGTTTTGATGGTGCGGAGACTTCCTCCCGTGGACGCACTGGGGGTGGTAGTCATAGGACAGGACGCCAAGCCTGGCGCCAAGAAGTACTCGGCGTTTCCAAAGCTGGCAGATGCAGCCCAGTTAAGTCATAGAATGAAATCTGAAAATAATGATATGGTCCTTTCCTTCAGTCAAGTATTCAGCCCGGGCTGAGTTAATAATGAGAACCTTATGAACAAAGGAGTCCGCCTAACATCTGTGTCTGTGGCGAAGCCAGCGAGAGTTCATTGAAAAATTTGCTAGCTTAACATGCCACGCTAGCAACAACATAGCATGGATGTCAGTAGTTTAAGGGTCACACTGAATTATGCATAAACTTTATCCTATTAGGGTATAAAGTGATTGCTTCGGTTTGAAATCCTGCGTGTGGTTTTCTAAAAAAAAAGTGGTTGCCTTCACAATCTGGAGGAGCAAGCAGGGTGATTTTCAGTGGAGAGTCTTGTTCTGCCTCAGCGTCTTGTCTGAGCCGAGATCTGCGTGGGTGTGAACCACCTGGGCCTCTAGACTGGAACTCGACTTCTAGCAGGGTGTGCCCATACTGGGAACCCCACTGACGCGTAAATGTCACCGATTCCGGATGGAGAAGCAGCCTCAGAATGTATCCAGACCGCCGGTTGCATCTCACAGAAGAACACATTTCCAGTGGTCAGCTTTCTTTGCCAAGGTCACCCAGCTCTTGAATGGAACGACCGAACCAGTACCCAGTCCTTTCGTTAACCTGTCCGGCTCGCGTTCAGCTCAGCTCCTCCACGGTTGTGCTGTTCCTGCTACCAGCGCTGGTACCTCTAAAACAAGGGCTATGGAGTATTGTTTAAAACAGCAACGACAACAAAGGGCAGGAATCGGTTTCTCTCTTTCTCTTTTTCCCCTTTAAAACTCTAGAAAAGCTTAGCATTGGTCTGAGTTTAGGTTTGTATTTTAAGTGCCCTGTTAGAGTTGTCAGTGGGAAGTTTGGGGTTGTAGTTGCCGATGGTCTAACTGTGGTCTTGCCACCATATCCACTGAGCACCATGTCACACTCAGACTCGAGGGCACACAGATGATTTCCCACAACAGCACATGGAGAGTCCTCAGTGTCTCATACAGCAAAAGGATGGGTTTACCGACGAAGTGTATTACTGCGGCAAATGTAAGCGAGGCAGCCCGGAAAATTGACTCTGTGTGAGTGTGTGAGAGTGTGTGTGAGTGTGTGCATGAGTGTGTCTGAATGTGTGAGTGTGTGAGTGTGTGCATGAGTGTGTGAGTGTGTGCACGAGTGTGTGAGTATGTGTGTGTATAAGTGTGTGAGTGTGTGTGAGTGTGTGTGCATGAGTGTGCGAAGTGTGTGCACGAGTGTGTGCGTATGTGTGTGTATAAGTGTGTGAGTGTGTGTGAGTGTGTGTGTTTCTGAGTGTGTGCACATGCATGCACACGCACTCAAAGATGACAGTGAAGTCCTGAGCTGCCCGAATGCAGTTGTGAATATGCCTGGTGCCTTGGGACTCAGCACGCAGGGATGACGATGTGCGGTGGGAAGGGGGAAGCTGGGGTGGGCCACTTCTGAACCCCCTGATGGTTTGGAATCGTTTCAAGTCTGGGATGCAGGTGCCTTTCCGAGAGGATTTGCCCTGGTTTGTGCTGGGGCTTGGGGCCCTGTGGGTTAGGATCTCCCTAATCAAGCTCAGGTGGTCCCTTCAGGCACTCACGGCTCACCCACTGATGAACTGGGTCCCCGAGTCCCAGCTTCTTGTCAGGGGGTCTAGAGTCTGTACTTTGGTTGTTCCTGAGCTGTAGTATTTGGCCTCTCATAAAGCTGCCAGTAGAAAGTTGGGATTTGTTGGGGGTGTTTCTGAGTTACTCATTTTCCTGCTTTCTCTGCCCTCGTGTTTAACATGGTCATTCCCGTCTTTTGAGCTCTTTGATGCCTTGGAGACATTTTACAAGTATATTTTTATCCAACATTTCAAACTGTCCTCAGTGGGAAGATGGGTTCAAATCAACTAGCTTATTAGAAATCGGCCTTACGAGAGTATCCTACAGCTTGTGTAGCTTAATTGCGTGAAAATAGGTTGAAATTGCTACATAACATTTTGTCCATATTTCAGGAGTCAGTACGGTAGTCACAACTCTCAGGTCCATTTTGGTAGATAACAACAGCGACGAAAGAATTTCAAGTCACATAAGGCCCAGCTTTGATCCCCACGACCTCACCGCGGTGTAGACTGTAACTTGCCATCCTGATGGGGACACTGGTCACAGTGGAAGGCGGTGCTGTCAGCAATACTGCCTGGGCCACCAGTGCAACAGCGAAATTCCACAGGTGCCCAGGAGAAGAGTAACCTACTCCCAAAGCAAACGGAAGTCGCTCTCCGATCTAATTCTCCCGCCAATGCAGCTACTTAGTAACAACTGTCTATTGGCAGCAGCGTGGAAACAGTTTGAAAAGCATGCTTGGTACACCCGAAGCCGCCTAGCTCTGTCTGTACAGGTACTCTCACGGTATCTTATGTGAAAGGTTTGCTCCAGACTGATGCAAACACATCCCAGAGGTCTGAATCTGTTTCCTTTACATTCTACACCAGCAACTCAGCCAGTGGCTTACCCCAGACCGCTAGGGACTGGCCTCAGGCAGCCTCCTAAATGTCCCAGCCGGAGTCCTCACCAGATGCTCTCGTACCCGGGGGAGGGGGTGGGGTGGCACATCTCTAAGAGATTTTAACTAATCCACATGTCTTGTATCCTCTTCATTTCACCAATGGATGCCCATTTCAGACTTTGTATGCTAGTTAGCAAAGCTTAGTCACTGATCTAGATGGGAATAGCTGAGGGGCTTCTGGGGCTGCCTCCGGGGTGCGGCCCTTCCTACCCAGCCTGGCCACGCCTCCCCGGGGGGGAGCCTTGTTATCACGACCACTGACTACGACTAGAATTACAGCTTTAACCGCTCATATACATGGTTAGATTCCCTCTCTATGTATATTTTAAAAGAGATTACAAACATTGTAACAAGGGTTACCTAATGTGTGCTCAATGATCCCACCCATGGAAATAACGTTCGCCATCCTTCCAGGATTGGCCGGCCCAGGGTATTAATGGCCTTGTTCCTCTGTTTCTTTGCCATTTTTCTGTCTAACGCCAACTGGTATTATGGGCCCATGGGCAATGGATGCTAAATTAGGTCCTTGTTGAAATTTCTAGCTGTTTAAGTCATGTGCCTGCAAATTAAGTGACAATTTTTATGTAAGCCCCTAGTATTCCATCAGAAATATGGTTGGCATGGTTAATAAAATTGTGGTTACTTTTATTCATCTCTAAGCCTAGTAATTGTTTTTAATCACTTTTTATTTAAAAAACGTGGCTATGGATAGCTTACAAGGACTCTACCGTGCTTTCGGATTCAAATCAGAAAGTCCAGGGAGTTTGTCCATTTGTCGCTCCTCATTGGAACCCGCTTCTGTCACTGTTCCCCCTGCAAGGGGCTCAGAGTGGAGAAGCCTTATCCCGACTGCTGCATAGGAGGAGTTACCGAA